GGGGGGGGGTTCTTGTGGAAGGGGGAAGGGTGAATGAAGGAGATTAAGGTGAGGGTATATGGTTGATGGACTTCATATACTTATATGAAACAGAACAGAGAAACCTCTTGCAATTGCTTTAAGTGGGGTGGGTAGGGAGTTTAGGAGGAGAGAAGAGGAGGTGATCTAAACAATGTACAATATAAGCCTAATTGGAATTGTCACTATAAATCCCCTCCTGTATAACAAATACATCCTAATAAAAACATTTTTATAATTTAAAAAAAAAAAGAAAAAATATGTGGAAACATGAGGCTAGGGAAAGCTTACATCTCACATACTGGGATAATTTTAAGTAGGGTATTATTGTTCCAGTTGATAAATGACTGACCTGAATTAACAATGGATTAGTGAGATACTTCTCTCTCATTACAGTCTGAATGTGATATGACAGCTCTACCTAGGATCCATTGATCTCTTGGCTGTTATTTCTAGGTTGTTTTCTTTGGGATTGAAGATAGCTAATACAGTGTAGCCAGTGGGAAAGGGAAGACATAATGTGAAGAATATTCTCCTTCCTTTGAAAGAAAGACCTGTATGTCAAACATTTCAGTTTTGCTCACTCTTCACTAATGCAGAAGTTACTAGAAGACTGGCAAATTATCTTGGTGGTCATGTGCTCTGGCTGTAAAATGCTGAGGTCAAGTCCTGGGGACAACTAATGTTCTCTGCCATCTTCTGAGCTCAGTAAAACCAAGAGTGCTGAATTAATTTAAATCAATATGGCTGATTGTAAGTTCCTATCTTTGTAGTAGGGCTTGTTTGTACATCTCTATATTGAAAATACTTAATGAACTGTAAAATGAAACTATGTAGTTAAAATCTTAGTGATTTTACATAAACCTAAGAGAATACAGAAGCTGCTTCATATTTTGTGCTGCTTTACTCACTAGAATTAAATGAAATCCTCTTCCTCCATTTGGACAGTGAAATCAGGATGTTACTGACTTACTTTTGCTTATAATGCTAATGATAGTCTAGAACGTAGGCTGAAAGACATACACCTTCATAATGAACAAAAAGTAAGGTGAAGGTACAGCTGCTCCTCTGCCCTACAGCAATAGCACAACAGATATGACTGTTTCACAGAAGGAAAGATTCTGCTTTGTTGAGGTGTTAAATTAAGAGCATTTTGAAAGACAGAATGCTTTAAAAAAATTAAGAACATTCATAAGAACATCAATTTTAGCTAGGTGTGATGGTACACGTCTATAATCCCAGCACTGGGGAGATTAAGGCAGGAGGAACCCAGGTTCAAGGACAGCCTGGGGTACAGAGAGACTTTGTCTCAAAAAACAAACAAAACAAAAAAAGGGCTGGGGTGTGACTCACATGGGAGAGCACCTGTTTAGCAAGTGTGAGGCTCTGAGTTCAAGCCCAGTACAAAACAAACAAACCCCAAGAAAATCAATCTTGTTTTCCTGTGCAATACTAAAATTTATCTGAATATTTATAATCTAACTATGTGTTCTTTTCTCTGTTCTTGGAGATATAGTTTAAATGAAAGGATTTCTTAAAAAAAAACTTTAAAAAACCTACAAAGAAAAGCCTGGAGTTCTGACTGGTTGTCTTGCTTGATAGTTTGTTGCCTTGGTAGTAATGCCATAATTTACCTGTCTGAACTGCAAAACAGTCTGTGCACTCTGAAATCAGAAGAGAATCATTGGCACACTTCTCTTTTCTCACATGTATAATGGAGAGAAATTCCTATTTACAGGTTGATTTTTATTTTAGCAAAAAGTTAACAAGGGAATTTGCCTTTGTTTGAAAATTTTATATCTAATATCCTTATCTTCAGGAATTCATGTTAATTCTTGCTCTCAAGTCCACAGTGTGTTCCTTTTTCCACATAGACTGTCCTTCATCCACCTGGGTTCAGTTCCAAGACAGCTGTTACATTTTTCTTCAAGAAGCCATCAAAGTAGAGAGCATAGAAGATGTCAGAAATCAATGTACCGACCATGGTAAGGGGCTTTTTGTTTTCTCCACAAATTGGTAATGTTCACAAATATCTTTTTAAAATGGTTTGTCCTATCTCATTTAACCCACAAGTGACAGTCAGGAGAACTGTGTACATAGTGCTGTTGGACAGTATTGTCCAAAGTCGGGTGACAAAACCTTAACATTAGTGTCTATTTAACATGAGTTCCCTGTGCCAGGGGTTGTGCATACTTCGTATTTTATCTTATCTAGCTTTAACTATCATAACAAGCCTATCAAGCTGCTTATTTATCCTTGTATCAAGAGGAAAAATTAAGTTCAATTATTTGTTCAAGATTATACAGGTTAATAATAGGCAGAGTCAGGATTCAAACCTAGGTCTAAGGCTCATGCTTGTGCTCGTATGCTTTCTCTGATTGCCCTCTGCACCCAGGATCTGTCTGTGCTACTATTTTCAAAGATGGCTGCCAACAATTCTTTCCCTCCCTGTGTACACACACAGGACAATCTATTTGGCTCCCTCACCCGCTGATTCTCAGAGACTTTGATTCTGGTCTTTGAGACTTGCTTGGTCAGTTAAATACAACTCATTGGACATCTGAGGCCCAGACCTTAAGACAACTGATAGATTCTTCTAGAAGCCAAGAAAAGGAAGTGACTCAAAGAAGAGGGAGTAATCAGTGGTGTCAAATGCTGCTGACAGTTAAGTAGGATGGAACCAGGAACTGGCCATTGGACACAACAGCATGGATGGCATTTATGATTTAGACATAGAAATCTCTGTGGACTGTTGATAGCAAAATCCTGTGAAGTGGATTAAAAAAAAAACATGAAGAACTGGGAAAAATAGTGTGTTTAGAGGAGGCAATTTCTGTATTTGGCTCTTTGTTTTGATACTCATTAGCTGAAACTGAACTGTGCTAGGACCTAGCATCTTTTTTCAGCTGAAATATGTGAGCTGGTAACATGAGAGTCCTTGGTTCTTTAAAAGTGCTTTCTGTTTCATTTCATTACCTTTCGTTTTTAGGCAAATACACAACTCCAGCATTTAGACATGTTCTTTACCTAAAAAACACAAATTCTGACAACCCACCTATGCAACATTTTGGAAGACTATCAAATTGTATTAAGGATGTTCTAATAAAAATATTCACTCATTACAGAAGGAATAAATGGAAACACAGAAGTTTTTAATTCTGTTGAAGTGCCACATAGTTCTGTTTTGGAAAGAGGGTCTTGCTATGTAGCCCATGTTGGCCCTGAATTTGCAATACTGACTCTAGTCCCCAAGTGCTGAGGTTGAAAGTCTGGGGGCGTGCCTGGCTATTATTTCTTCTCCTCATCCTCTTTCTTTCTACTTAGACATAAACACAGATTTGAATAGCATAAATTATATGGGAGGCAGAGAGCCAAGAAAAGAGATGTTCCTATATTATATCATTAACATTATTAAGTGCAGCACAAGATCAAAGTTCATTGTTCAGCATTATTATGTCTTACTTAAGCAACCGTTCACTATACAGAAGCAGAATTAGTATTTGTTGAGTGACTTCTATGACTCAAATGTAGCCAATTGTTATTTTCTGTAGCAACAAAATTAAGTTAAAAATCCACAAGTTTGTGGCCTGATTTTTGATTGCTTGTTTATAAGACTACAAACTCTACTTATAGAAAAAGGGTTGTTACTTAGGAATTTTAAGTTGTACATGCAAATTTGTTCATAAAATTTGTCTTGTTTCTAAATAAAATTGTCTTTTTCCCTAAATAAAAATTTATGAATTTAGGAGTATGATGTAGCTCAGCGGTACAGTACTTGCCTAGCAATGGGTAAGGCCTGGGTTCAATTTCTAGCATCAAGAATAAGAAGAAAATAAATTTCTTAAAGTTCCTCAGACATTTCTAAAAATCCTTCTATTTATTTGGTGACCCTATGCATTTACTTCTACTCTGGAAATATCCTTTCATAGATGAATCAGAAAATTAGCTAAATTTAATGTTGTGCTTACTTACTTTTGGCTACAGGAATGTTTTGTTTAGAACATTTGGTCAATATAAATTGTGTCTTCTTTGCTATGAAGGAAGAAGAAAAAGCATATGAAATACCAGAATATTTACACTTGAAAAATATTTTAGTTAAAAAAAATCGTATCTTAAACCTATCATTGGGATATAGAAAATAAATCCCTTATTACTTTTCGGGCTGCAAAGAGCTATATTCAATATTCCCAGTTCTTTGTGCTAATTTACTTAATGTGATAACTTATTCTCTTTCCTTTTGCTAATAGTATTCATTTAAGAAAATTGTGAATAAAGCTAAACGTCACAAAATAATAACCTCAAACTCCTAATTTTGTGACTTTTACCTTTATTATGTACATTACCTATTATGACAAACATTTTCAAGCTTTCCTTTTTGCGATTTATGTTACATCATTAGCCATAAAAAGAATTAAAGACCCTCATTTCATCTCAGTGGATAGTGTCACTGAATTTTTTTGCCTGAGCACATGCATTCTTTGGGGTTTTATGCTGTCATTTAAGAAAATGAAAGTGTGTCTTATTTGCCTGACATAAAAATTTAAGTCTATACAGTACTCAATTAGATTACAATGTTAAAAATCATTAACGTGCCATTGGTTGCAACAAGGTCAGAGAAAGGGATAAAAATCTTGTCTCTGGATACTTAAACTATAACCTAGTTCTTCTAGAGTGGCATTTCACCAATAAGAACTGGGGTGAAATATTAAAGTCTCTATGCCATTTAACAGACGAAGTGGTAGCAACAACAATTGATTAAAAAAAAAAAAAGCCATCATAGTTTTTTAAGCATGGCAAACTGAAAGAGAACCTGGCTGAATTCTGAGCAGTGTTTTAAAGGTCATATTTATTTTATATATTTATTTTAAAGTTCTTTCATAATTACACAATTAATACATGATCACCATAGAAAACATAAAAAAACACATGTGCAAATATTCTTTTAAATCATCCTCAGTCACACCACGTGAAGGCAGTTATCTTTAACATTTTAGTAACTGGCTGAAGACTTACATAGGTTATTGTTATGAATGAGAGCCAAGGATTACTTTAGCACACACTGTTAAGAATTCCTGGATCAAAGAATACATGCTTATTTTAGGACTACTGATACATCTTGCCAAATTCTCTATATTCAGGTAATAATTTTTACTCCGATAGCTGCTAATTACTTCCTGTTTTTCTACAGTGAGACCCTGAACTGTTTAATCTGCAAGTCTCTTTAATTTTTATCTTTTTTTGGTGGGAGTAGGGGGGGATGACAGTTCTGGGATTTTGAACTCAGGGCCTCACTATAACCATGCCCCAATTCTTTTTTGCTTTGGTTATTTTTGGAATAGAGCTGCAGTTTTTGCTTAGGCTGGCCTGGACTATGATCCTCCAGGCCATGTGTCACCATGGCCAGCTTTATCACTTGAGATAGGGTCTCACTTCTTGTCAGGATGGGCCTCAAATTTTGATCTGCATCTCTGCCTCCTGAGTAGTTGGGATTACAGCAATGAGCTACCACACCCAGCTATTTTGCATCTTTTTAGTAGTGTATCTTTTTCACACATTCCTTGTGTTGTACTTCTTTTTTAAGATGGTAAATTGCCTCTTTAACACTCTGGGACCAATTTTTTTATAATAAGAGCTACAGGCTGTTCAGTTTTTTATTTTGGCCCCAGGTAGTTTTCTTTCCTCCTACAGTTTAATTTTTTTTCTTTTCCAAAAGGTGTCTTTTAAAAGATATAAAGGTGTAATATATGTAATTCATAATTTTTATATATCTGTGGTTTTCATTGCTCTTCAACATGCTGTTTTTCTCCTTAAAATAACCTCAGGAGCAGACATGGTAAGCATACATAATGAAGAAGAAAACGCTTTTATCCTGGACACTTTGCAAAACCATTGGAAAGGCCCAGATGATCTCCTGCTAGGCATGTTCTATGACACAGATGGTAAGTGATATTTACCTTGTGGTCATGACTTTTTCTTTCTCTAATGTTAGTAGCATTCTCTAGATGAAGATGATGTTTCTTGTGGCCTCCAGGTATTGAATTTTCTGGGTATACCTGTGGTTTATGCCGTAGCTCTTTTCTGAGTAGCACAATGTATTTCACAAATGACACAACTGCCCCCTGGTCTGGATTAAAATGTGGTTTTAGGCTTAGTACTTTTGTAAAATGGCATAGTCACAAAAGTAGTTATTAGTGTCAGCTGTTAGTAGGATAGAGTAAATTAGCTTTCCTTACAGGGTAATATATTTTCATCACTGTAGAGGAACTAGAAAGTACATAAATGTTTTCAAATGACATGAAATGAGAAATTTGCTATTAATATTTTTAACAATTTAAAGAATTTCCCCATGAAAATAATTTCTCTTTACAAAACTGAGATCTCTTAAATGCCTTTCAGTGATGACCTGTATAGAGGACATGTTCTTCCATCTTCTAATCCCACAACCAAAAACGTACATTGTACATTCCTAAATAATCTCCCTTCTTTAACCAAGACTTTTCTCTTTGGCTTTGTCACCCTTTTATACTGTCATAATGTTTGAAATTATCCCTCGATTGACAGATGCAAGTTTCAAGTGGTTTGATAATTCAAATATGACATTTGATAAGTGGGCAGACCAAGAAGATGGTGAGGATCTAGTTGACACCTGTGGCTTTCTGTACACCAAGACAGGTGAATGGAAGAAAGGAAACTGTGAAGTTTCTTCTGTGGAGGGAACACTTTGTAAAGCAGCTAGTGAGTATGATGGAAACCCTTTCCATTCTAACATGGGCTGGGAGAGCTGGGCTGGCTTTCAAGTAATTTTGAGATTAGTATGCCTAAAACAGAGAGGGACTAAAACTTCCAAATATTAGTAGGGTGGTTTGCTCCCAAGTCTTTTGTAATTCAAATAAGTAATACTCTTCTTCAGATGTAGGGCCAGATCACGTGAACTAGACATAATTTAATGCTATCTGCTTAGAGTTCCTGAGAGAGCAAAAGAAATCTGTTTTCAAAAGAATTATGTGGAAGTGAAGAAGCACCATGTGTAGTTCTGGAATTCTAATATTACTAGACAAGGAATTAGATTCTGTACAAGAACTAACATTGTTTAGGCAAATAGAAAAATGACATCATATTACAGGTTACATTATATTAAAAATTGCATCATAGATCATGAGTTTGTGTGAATTAAAACATAAATTTTCTTCTAATCCATCAGAATTCACTTTAATGAACAAAATTATCCTGTTCCATAACAATCTTTCATGTTATTAAGCATTGCACAAAGGTTGTTCTTCAAAATATGAATTTGGGCTGTGTGGAACATGGCACAACCAGCCAGTTCCCCACCTGCATCCTCAGTGTTCTCTCCTGCTACAGCAGTGAGCCAAAACTGCACACTTGGACTTGTTTCCCTTTTTTTAGCATTAAAAGTATGTTCTTTTACTTGCCACAGCACAGTACCTATCATTAGTTTTGGAGTGATTATGTTATCATTTGTCATAGTTTTACAGGAGTAGTATCCAACTTCAAGTATTTATTTAAAAATTGGTTCTTTTCATGTACTGTGCTTCAGGGCACCGATATATAAAATAAGCTTTTAATTAAACAATGACTTCCAAACATCAGATATTTTGAGCAAATCCATGCTAACGAAGTAATGAAGCTGTGTAATTTTACATTTTTCTACAAACTGTGCAACCAGAATCCTTTTATTTCCCTCACTTCATAACCGTCTTTTTCTCAAGCTCCCTTATTCTTTTCCAGCAACCAAACCAGCGCATTCTGTTAGGCCCAGATAGATCTCTCTCTAGAAATTAAACTCAAAATATAGGTAAGTAACAGAGACAATTGACAAAGTGTAGAAATCAGAATATTAAGGTGATGAAGTGTTCATTTTTAATGACTATGAAAGTATTTAAAGCCAATTTTACAATGATGCATATTTCAATTTTAATTTTAATTTTCTTTTGCATTTTAGTGCCATATGATAAGAAATATTTATCAGGTAAGCAATATTCTGATCTTAAAATTTCCCCAATAATTAAAAATGTATTAAAATTCTGGCATGTTAAAATACTATTGTGGACCCCTTTAAAAACTGTGTAACATGAAGTAGAACCTTTATAAGATGTACAAAGTAATAGGCTTAATAAGGCTTGACATTTAAAATATAACTACAAGTCATGCATAAAATGAACATTTTTAATACTGTATTTTCCTGTGGAGCTCCGTTATCTGTTTTTTGTGAGGTAAGATTCCATCTTTTGTTAAGGTTTCACCTCATAAGTTATAATTACAATTCATAAAGCATCTTTCTTGAATTGGGCTTAGTTACTACATAAAAAAAAAGAAAGAACAGGTGCCAAGTATGGTGGTGGATGTCTGTAATCTCAGCTACTCAGGAGGCAGATTATCAGGAGGACCAAAATCTGCAGCCAGTTTGGGCATAAAAAAGTTAGCAAGGCTCCATCTCAACAAATAGGTCAAGCCCATTATGGATGGCAGTGCCCATCTGTAATCCCAGCTACATGTGAGACATAGGAAGGAGACCAGCCCCAGGCAAAAATAACTAAAGAAAAAAGGGCTTGGAGCATGGCTTAAGTGGCAAGGCTCTGAGTTCAAATCCAAGTACAGCCTAAATACATGTATACATACATACATGGGACAGGTAATATGTTACTCAAAAATCAAAACTATGTAAGGCGAACATTGCCTCCACATGCCCCACTGTATCTCTACCCTTATCAAGCACCATTTTACCATGTTTCTTCTGCTAATATAAATAGATGACTTATCTTGCTCACTTAAATTCACTGTAGTCTGGATATGTCTCCATCTTATGACCAGGTACAGACTGATCTTCCTTTTTACAGCTGCATACTCTTCTACTATATGGATATGCATACACCTAGCTTCAAACTTCCACGTGGTAATTTCTAAACATTTGCTATTATGAATGATGCTGCAACAGAGGTGAACCCCCTTGTACAAATACATGTTTATCTGTAGATTAGATTCCCTAAAATGACATTTCTGGATTGGATGAATCTGTAACTTTGATCAATACTGATCTTGGTCTTAGAGGAATTAAGACTGTCTTACATTCCCAGTAGCAACGTGTCATTATCTGTTATTGAATTTTCAGAGCTTTTGTTTGAGACAGGGTTTTAATGTATATAGCTCAACCGGCTTCAACTCACAATCCTCCTGCCTCAATCTCCAGATTGCTGGGACTACAGCTGTGTACCACCACACCCAGCTTGGACATTTTTAATCCCATTTTCAGGTATACTTAATGGAATATACATAAATCTTAGATATAGATTGATGTTTATGCATTCACTATATTACTATGTCAAATCAAAATATCTAAATTTCTATCACACAACAAAGTTCCTCATTACCATTCCCAATAAATGCCTACCATCCACTCCCTCCGTAATTCTGGCTTATTAGAATTGACACATTTTATAAAAACTGACGGGTTCCACAGTGCCATTTGCACACACGCACATACTATGTGCATTCATCTTGTCCTCCCTCCTCCCGGCCTCTTCCCAGTGCTAATTGTCCCTCTTCTGGTTTCTTTTCAGTTTCCCCATGACAGTAAACATGCAATACATGTCTATCTGTTTTCCACTTACATATTTCTGATTTGTCACTATTCTATTTGGCTTTTCACTAAGGAGTTTTCATTCATCTATGCTATATATACTCTATCTTTCCCTGTTGCTTCATAATAATTTATAAATACGTAGTATTTTATCTGTATTTTTTGCTATTTGACTTTCCATCTTGGAACTAATCCGCATGTAACACCCTCATATCTTCTATTTGGACTTGCAATGTCACTTGTGACATCCAAAGTGGGTGTCACAGGACACCTATGTATGCTTGGCTTTATCAGAATCCACTGTATCACACTGCAAAGTGGTTGATCTACAACATTCCTACAGGCAAGATACTAATTCTACTTCACCTTTATTGCAGGTGGCATTGTCTTCTTTTACTTTCTGCCATTCAGTGAGTGCATCATGAGCACCTGACAGTGCTGAGCATGTCTTTATTTTTTGTGAAATGCTTGCAAGTCTTTTGCCCAGTTTTTCTTGGGTTAACTTTATAGACATGCAATATTTTAGCATAATTTTGAATGAGTCTTTCACATCTAAAATTTAATGTATCGTGCATATTTTCTGTATGTAGGGTTTGATATGATGGAGAAGGGAAGTGTTAAGAATGTGTGTGCATACCAAAGTTAAATCTTCACTCTTCAATAGGAAAAAAAGCCAAGAATCACCTCACACCCATTAACTGGCTGCTTCTTAAAAATAAAATCAAGGGGGGAAAAAAACACCCCAGAAAATGCCAAGTGTTAGCAAAGATGTGAAAAAACCGAACCCATTGTGCACTATTACTCAAAGATAAAAATGTTGCAGTTACTGTGGTAAACAGCATGGCAGTTCCTCCAAAAATTAAAAGTAGAATTACATGACCCAGCAATTCCATGTCTAAAGCTATACCCAAAGGAACTGAAAACAGGAACAAATGAGTACATCATGGTCATAGCAGCATTATTTGCAATAGCCAAAAGGTAGAAGTAACTCAAGTGTCTATCAACAGATTGATAAATGTGATTGCAGCAATTTCACTTACATAGGTTATCTAGAGAAATCTCTATACACACAGAAATGAGGTGTTTGCCAAGGCTTGTGGGAAGAGGACTAGGAGTTATTAATAGGTATAGTTTCAGTTTTGTAAAGTGAAGAGTTCTACAGGTGGATGGTGTCACAACGCCAATGTACTTAATGCTACTGAACACACACTTAAGATAGTAACTTTTGTTGCATGTACAGTTTAAAAAAAAAACAAGTGGTGTTAGCATGTTATTTAGAAGCATGGAGACAGCAATAGTAGGTCAACCATGGAGAGTTGAAGCTATAGAAATTAGCAAGCAGTCTTAAAAATAAAGGGAAAGGAGGTAGTAGTATTGGGGAAGGAGGAGAAAGGGCCAAGGTTGGATGGCTAACAGTCTGGTTGCTTCAGGTTGCACTGCAGTGTACTTGTGTGCATGCCTCAACCACATGGTTAACTCTGCATAGCAATTTCAAAAGGGTGAGAAGATGGACCACATGAGTTTGAGAAATGCCAATGAAGTAAAAGCTTCATTGCTGCTAAGTTTCATTTCCTTTTATTAGGCTAAGGAAGATCTCTTCCTAGATATATTTTAAAAAGTAGGATGAATGCTAGAAAATAGTGATTTACTCAGACAAGAAAGGAATGGATTTTTTCCCTTTCATTAAAGAGGTAGGTGGACTTATCCTTTTCTTCAGATACATATCTTACATATTTTAACACATTGCAAATGTTGCTCCAGAGAGATGGCCCAAACAATGTATACACATATGAATAAATGCAAAAACAAAAACAAAAATAAAGTGTTGCCCCAAAATTGGTTTTATCCCATTTTAGAAGCATGTGGCTAGTCAACAAAAAGGCAATAAAATATCCTGTCAATATTTTAAAGATACCAGTGGTTCTCCCCCTTAACAAAGGATACTTGGCCAGACTTACCCCACAAATTTTTAATTCTTCCAGGTCCCACTTTTTAACAAGTACTAGTTGAAATAGTGAGTACATTTTTAAAAACTATTCATTTGCAATAATTTTGAAACTTTCTTTGCAGTCCGTCATTATTATATATAACAACCTTCCCTAAAGCATTTTCCTCTTACTAAACCAAATAACTTCACAATTTATTAAAAATGAATTCTCACAAAGACTTTAAAGAGTTTTGACTAGACAGGAACTGTTAGGTCGTACACATTTATAGAACATAAGGGAATACACAGTATGTAGTGTTACTTGAATGAATGCAAAGAGGCTCTTGGTATTTTTTTGGTGAAGCAAATCTTAAGTCTTAAAAGTAAAACAAGCCCTAATCCCCACTGATATAATTAAGTATCTGAATACCACTACTCCTGAAGAGGGTATAGGTCTGAATTTGTAAGATCATGGTTTAGAAAGGAAAAGCCAACAAAGACGTAAGCAGGATTGTGGAGCACTTTAGGATCATCAGTAGAGGATAGAACTGCAAAATTTACTTGGAATTTTGAAGTATGGCATTTTTTATATGAAGAAATATAAACCTTGATAGTAGTGAATGTGTAACTGTGTTTCTCATCAGTGTGGGAAATTCTACATATAAATACATGATGAAACTACACTTGTATTCCCCAAAATGCAACAGGTGCAACGTATACACCTGATATCCCATGTATTCTTTTGTCTTTTCAGATAACCATATTTTAATTTCAACTTTGGTGATTGCTAGCACAGTAATCCTGACAGTTTTGGGAGCAATCATTTGGTTCCTCTACAAAAGAAACTCTGATTCTGGATTCACCACAGTTTTTTCAACTGCACCCCAATCACCTTATAATGATGACTGTGTTTTGGTAGTTGCTGAAGAAAATGAACATACTATTCAATTTGACTAAACTTATGGTAATCTCAGACCAAGGCATCAAATACCTTGACAGGGATTCCTGTGCAAGATTTTAATATAAAGTGACATTGAAAATTATAGCTTTTATAGTATCCCTTATTCCATTTAGAGTACTTTGTTTGTTGTAATAAAAATTAACTTCTTGGTTCAGAATTTTAGAAAAGGAAATCATCTTAGCTGTAACAAGGGTTTCATCACTTCAAATGTAGAAACTTTCACTTCAATGAATGAAAGCAAGAAATAAAGCTGATAAAAATTAAAATCCAGCTTCCTTGTCCCCAACCTCTCTTCCTTTCCATGGAGTTGAAACAGTTCAGTTTGTAATTCAACTATCTTGGGTCCTTTATTAATAAACATGGTACGGAGAACAAGCCTGGTAATTTTTGGCAGTCTTGGGATCTGAGTGAAGGGCCAGGCAGGTGCTCTGCTTACACCTGAGCCACGTCCTTAAGACCAAACGAGCCTGACTTTTGAAGACCCTATATACTCCTGGTACTGGCTACTCTGGCAGATGGTAAATCCTCTACTATTTGCATTTTTCCTTTATGATTTAGATGAAAATTTTATAGATTTTAACACTTCATACAATTTGCTTAGTTTCACTACTTTTAGACACATGGTTTTAGACCATGAATACTATTTCGCACTGGTAACAAATTAAAATCTTATAAATTCTTTAAAACAATTCTGTGTCTAGGAAGGCACGGAAAAGGCTGGCAACAAAGTTACTCTTCATAGTGTCCCCTTAATGATTTTTCTCTTGCCACCGTATCTTTTCCTACACAAGGTTATTTCATACTCCCAAAGCATTTATAAATTTCATGCTTTGATGAAATGAAAACTAGAAACAGTGATAATGTTCAAAGGTTTTGGTACATATATCACCCACTTTAAGACAGGTAAAATAATCATTTGGGAGTAAAAAAGTAAAATAGAAGAAAGCTGAAACAATAGTGACTTTCCATGGCACTTTCTGTAGTTCAAAATAGTATTAGAAAAGATAAAAGATTCCAGCTTGTATCATCTGTGTTCATTGGCCACTACAAATCCAAAACACATCTCATTCAAAATTAATGGCACTATTGTTATGAGACTCCAGTAACTACAAAGTGGTGACAGAAAACTATTAACGGCGTAACCACATGGTAAAAGTATCAATATTTCAAGTTCAAAGCATACCTAAGCACTCACAGAATATATTCAAACTGGCATCTTTAAATTCTGTGTGTCTGCTTTAAGGCAATGCAAAGATAACGGGCAAAAATTTAGCAATTGTGTTTATATGTAATGGGATTTGAAATTTTAATAAAATTCTTGGCTATTTAAGTCTGAAGTTTTCTGAAGGCACCGGTTTAAAAGGAAACAGTTCAAACCATGAAATTATCAGTATTCACTTTATTTCAAGCCAAAGTTTTACATAAGACCAACAAACTAAGTGTGGGCAAACTATTCATTCACATTTGAGAAATTACATGGTTTCAGGTAGGTTTTGAAAAAGTTTGTTGCCATAACACCAGAGTTTAATCTGAAACCACTTAGGGTATTTGATAAGTGTACATACTGGAGGTGCTGACAGGGAAAAACACAATGTTATGGAAGCATATACAACTCAAACCCACAATGCAGACACATTCATGTTGAATAGGTAATGTTCTTCTTTCACCTTTTAGCAAAGGTAGTGAAAAATATTAATCATCATCAAATAAATGCTCAGAATTACCAAGTAACAGTTAAAAATGACCAGGATCCAAACAGGTTATTTATCTATAAAGAAGTGACAACACTAAAAAACACATTGAAAACCAGTGTCTGAAACTTCGTGGGATTTAAAAAAATATTCCATTAACTTGAGATTGCAATAATTTTTTTTAACCAAATATCATTTGACTGGCAATTCTGATATAATTTACAGCTGTGATATCCCTAAAAGGAATACCTACATATCATGGCCTATCAAATATAATCTGCATTTTGCAAATCAATATAAAAATTTATCCATCATTTCTACATTTTACACTTTTTTAAAATTAGGTTTTAAAGCTAAGTGAATTTAGAATTCAAATTAAATTTGGAAACTTAATATAGTGCTCTTCATAACCATCCCATTCTTTAAAAAAAATTTTTGGAACACTGGAAATAAATGATTATTAAAATGTGACAACGTAAGGAATTTTTAAAGGAAAATTAATTAGATGCCATTTGGCATTTAATTTCAAAAGTATATTTTGTCCCATCTTTCTCACTAGCAAGAGACTAAAACACAAACATTTTTTTCCATAAATATTACTACAGTAATCAGAATGCAAAAAGGGGTTGGTGAGCATTGCTTAGATACTTAAAACAAGGGTAACGCTTTCCTACTCACCTAAAAGAAAAATGTTTTTGATTACCATATTATAAACATCAGATTTGCTGGCCAATGTTAAAAGATCCAGCAGAATTTTAACTCAGCAACACTTGAAAATGAATATATATACATACATGTACACATGTAAATATATATTCATTTTATTGTCAATATATTTAATAGGCATTCCCCCACAAAATTAACTCATACTTAATTGCCAGTTTTAATAAACACTTGTTCACAGATCATCCATTTGTCCTAAATGAAGTTAGGCAATATCAAATGTTCTGTTATGGTCTCCATCTTCTTCAGAATCATCCTCTGAAGCTGTTGAAAGAAAACAGGATGATCAAGAATCATTTTAAGGGAGATGAGAAAGGGAAATGTAAATATGAAGCCAGAACAGCAATGAATTGTAAAATAAAAATCCCAATTTAGTATATTGTTTGGTCAAAATGGTAAGTTATCATGACAGGGTTAGGGTGGTTTGACTGTGGGTGATACCCATTCACAACACCCCCGCCCCCACATCTTTTTGTGATGTTATATACTTTTTATAAAAATGAAAATGCTTAAACAACGTGGTTCAAAGAGCATCTTCTAAAACATTTTTGAGACCAATTTGTCTTCATAGTAGCTAATGATATATACACTAGAAAAAAAGTGAATTTAAGGCAAGTGCTCTCACACACCTGAGTAGAATCTGGCTTATTACCGCTGCATGTTTGATGCATCCGATGAGAATGAAAAAAAATGTACATAGAATAACAGGTTATGGGTGTTCTTGCAACTTATATCAAAGCTATGTCTATACAATGTGAAGAAAAAGCTCTATTTAGTAAGTCCAAAAAAAAAAAGAAAAAGAAAAAAAGCTTTATTTATATAGACACAGCCTAAGTTAAAATAACTGGATTCAAAAAATCCTCCTGTTGAAATAATTCCCATGTCTCCAACTTGTCAGAAATATGACTTATGCAACATTTCTGACCTCAGTTTATCCAAGAGTCATCAGTGGCTCAAGATTAAATATAAAGTATCCAAGAATGGCTTTACCAAGGACACAATAGTTGGAAAAAAAAAAAAAACACTAAATTTAAGTATTCTATTAACTGTTTTACACATGAAAGAAAATGAAAGTTCACTAAAATAAACATCTACCCAGCATTTACGTCCCTGATTATAAAGGACATAAAGGTTTAATATACTCTTTTCTTGTATTAACACTGGACAATTTAAGAGCATCCAGCAAATGGAATCAATCCAAAGCAAAGCATAGGAAAAAAATGAAACATTTATAGAGGAAATCTACTTTTAATAAATGACATCAAGTATATGTCTATCTCACAACTGAGATAAACCCTATTATTTTTGTTGTATTATTACAGGAATGTGAAAGTAAAACACAAAATCCCTCTTTTAGGGAACTTTTTGTATTTTTCAGTTGATTAATTCCACAGAAGAAAATTCAGTCGAAATTAATTTTCAGGATAAATTAGTGTTTTTGGGGTACAGGGGACAGGCAGAGGACTTGAACCCAAAGGAAACTGCTAGGAAATTGCTCTTCAATTGAGCCATGGCCTTATTCCTTTTACTTTTTTGGTTTATTTTCAAGATAGGTTCTAGTGCTTTTGCCAAGGGCCAGTCTATGCTCTGCTTCCAGACTAATTGGGTTTACAGGCATGACCTATTACACCCAGCTCAATGTTCTGGTACTTTGGAATTAATTTGTAGCACTCACATTTTTCACTATCAGCTGAGCTTGGGTGTATGTTACCTCCATCTTTTCTTCTCTCACATATTGGGAAAGACTTTGATGTATGTAGGAAGCTATATTCTAAATGAGAATGCTTGTTTTTAAAAAAGGAGAAAACTGGGGAAAATATACTGAAACAAGTGACCATCATCATGTCTGGCAAAATGTAATTTTCAAAAATAAATTCCCACTGACTCCTTTATTTTCACATATAGCAATTAAAACTGTGAAATAATGTGTTGTCAAATCCTTTTCAAACATGAAATTAGTATAGGCTTAACAAAAATTCATGTCTTAGAATTTTCAAAAAATTAAGTCCTTAACCTATCTTCAAAAGATGTTATGCTTCCTCTAAAGGAATACAGGAATGGGGAAGACAGTTGATTTAGTTGAAAGAATTAAGACAGGTTGGATTTGGATGGGGGCAATCCAGGATTCCCTAGGAACTGTTCCACAGCCAACAATTCCTGTGCCCATCTAGTATGAAGCACCATGGAGGTACTATAGAACTTTATCAAGAGGATAGGCTGTGCAAATGCCCACAAAGACTGGGGGGATTATGTGCCCTTTTAACTAAGAGCTGGACTATGATTTGAAGAGACTGCATCTACCTACCTACAAAAGTCCATGAAGAACTGAACAAGGAACAAAAAAAAATTATGGCATTTACAATGGATTCAGAATCAAAGCAAACTTTCTCCCTTTTTTACCTGGAACCATACACAAGCCAAAAGAAAACTTTTATGATCTGGTAAAGCTAAGTAAGAAGTAAAAATTTCTTTATATATTTTAAAAAACCTTAAGAGATACAGTTTAACAATTAAATATGTATCTCCTTTTTTATTATATATGATAAATTAAAAAAAGTAAAATACTACTGGTTAAAATTATATCCTACAGTACCTTAAAACAAATACAATTTAAAAAAATATACTGTTAAGAAAATTAGTGTCATTTGTCTAACCCATATTATCCAAATTAATTAAGCTATAAACCAAAGCTCTAATTTGGTAGGAAAGAGTGTATATTATACATATATATATATATATATAATACACACACACATACTTAGATTTTTTTCTGTGGGTTTAACTTGCAAAAGTAAATTCAACAAGTCTGGGGAGGGGAAATTCCACCTACTTTCAAGATCTTCCATATGTGCCTGAAGAGTTCTTGCAAGGTTAATAAACTAGAAACAATGCAGAAAGAAATACAGTAGTTTAAATGTTGCAAATGGATCTAAAAAGAATCAGTATAGGAGATTCATTTCTACTTAAAAAAAATCAAACACCATTTTAATCCTTTATACATGGGTCTTTCTCCCCTATATAAAAAATTATAACCTTAAGGGTATTATTGTTAAATGTTTTATATAATCATTAGTCATGGAGAAACCAGTTACTTGAAATTCGAACAGATACAATAAAATAATTTCATCTAATGGTATCTTCCTATATAACATTAAAAAAAATTTATGAAATAAAGGGGAAAACCAAAAACCAAACCAACCAAACAAAAACCCCACCCCTCTTACTATTTGGACACAAATGAATTCAAATTTGCCTGCCTAAACTTGGTAAGAGTACATATTTAATTCTATACTTGAAAAATAAAATCATAATAGTAACTTCTACAGACTTCTATACATGTTACATGGTTTATTCATCTCAAGATTTTCAGAAATCATTTTAGAGCACTAACTGAAGTGGGGCGGGGAGTCCATGGTTTAAGTACTTAGAAGTCAAGAAATCTTTGCTGAAATTCTGAATGCTCAATGGTTTGTTCTCTTTTCTACCAATTATAACCTGTCACTTGACTCACAATTATACTGTACACATACTGAAAAATATATTACTAGCTTAAAATATTATACAATTTTGAACTGCATTTTTTATAATTTTCTAAATAAAAACATTACACCTTAACATGAACTTCACTAGTTTTATCACCAAATTGAACATTTATATCAATTGCAGTATAAAGGACATATTTATGAACACATTTCAAGATATGAAGTGTTTGGAATGCTGCAGTTAAGGACAGATAGTGATCACAGGCTCTGCCACACACAAAATGGCCAACGCAGCAGACTGTAAGTTTCCTGTTGGTACACTGAGGCAAACAGCACTGTTACTTAAAAATTCAGGCTAACAAAATGCTAGCCTGAATGTGCTATATGAATAATAGTATACCTAGGAACACCAACTAGTTCATACCTTAAATAGTTTGTAATGTGGACACTTAGAAATTAGTATACTGGAAATCTTTTATACGATAATAACAAATATATTGAAGATTTCTTGCATTCGTTTTCCTTTTGGAGTTCAATTTCATGTTTCTAAGATACAATACTGAGGGTTGTCTTTTTAAATTAAAAGGAAAATTTTTCCTTGGAGTTCCCATTCTGTTCCCACTTCTCAATGAAATATATTTCGATTGTTTTCAAGAGCTAGAAAATGACTTCTTTTCTAAACAGCTTTATGAGAAAATCAGGATGCTTGTTGTAGAAACAAGGAAGACAGCAATGTCCATTAAATCTACAATATCTTTATTTTCAAGGAACATTTAAAAATAAGAATTTCCCAAAAGGAAATAGGACGTGAACACATAAAACAATTTGTTTCCCAAAGCAAAACACCTGGCATTTCACACCCTCTTTCTCCCATTCCAACATTACTTACTCGGACACGTGTACTTGGTTCATTCGTATTTCCCATCATATCAGAAAAGCTTTGTTCACACAAGTGCAGTAACACAACTAGGTAGAGACCAGAGCTGATAAACTCATATTCAGCCTTCAAAAGGGAAGCAAACAGAAGAAAAGGAAAAATGGAGAATGAAAAACCACAACTGTAATTAATAGCCACAGTTTACTGATAACTAAAGGAAATGTGTTCATATCCGTTTTCTAGAAAGGCATACTGTGCCATCTCTTAAAATAAGACATAAATCCTTAATGATTTCCTAAAATTTGAGTTCAAATAGGTGTGAAGGTTTTTTTAATCCTCAATCTTTTTTGTCATGCTTTATATAACAGTTTAACTTTTAAATTATTTGATGGTGGAATGAATGCTTTGGGTTTTTTAAGCTCATAACATTTGTAAGTGGTTAACAGCTGTATCTTTGCTCAAATGGTTTTTGTGTAATAAAACTAACTTAAAGGCAATGGTAAATACAAGAATGAACTAATAAAGGTAACAATGTTACAGTGTAATAATTGTTCATACAAAAATTTTAATTGGTAGAAATAAGAGCTCTTTGATGGGGAAGGGGGAAGGCTGCTAGGGAGAGAACCAAGGGCCTCACGCATAATAGGCAAGCACTCTATCAATGAGTCCTAGTCTGTTATTAAGGCTATAAATACAGATCACGAATATAGTGTTGTTAAAAATCTAATCTGTCCTTTATTTTTATAGCGAAAGATAAATTGTACTTTTGGATAATTAACGCATCTGAAAAACTGAAATTTATTCATTTTCTGTAAGAGTATATTTTGCTGATTTTTAGCGTAACAATGAAATCATATATTCAGAAAAAAATTTAAATTTTAAAACATCACCTTGCAAAAGATGAAGCCATGGAAAATGAGGAAACATTATCTAGTGTTTAAAATGAGGGTAGTTATCAAGCCACTAAAATCCATGATTCATATGAACTAAAACAAGTTAAGGCCAGGAAGCTGAAACAAGGCATCACTGTCTGTACCATGACTCCACCTGATATTTTCTAACACTTCTAAATTATGTAAGATATTTGGGTCAGTAAAATGATTGAACAATAAAAATCATCACTTAATGAAAAGCCAAAGAGCTGGTTTTTAAGAGACATGACGAACATCTAAAGCAGTTAGCTGGGCAGGAGAAAAAAACCCTTTTGAATCTCACTCTTCAAAGACACTATATACAAGAATTTATGAGGAAGGTCCATAGGTCTACTCAAATTTTCGAAGGGTATCCGGTATTCCCACATTTTGTTTCTTTGGTGGTATGGGGGGTCTGACCTTAGGGCCTCACACTTGCAGGGCAGGCACTCTACCACTTGAGCTCCACATTTTAAAAGCTGTTCATAAAAGATTGTGTATTGTACAATTTCATTTATAAGAATTATTCAGAACAGGTAAATCCATAAATCAGAATAGAGACTGGTGCCTGCCAAGGGCTGGGAGAAGAAATAACTACTTAATGGCTGCAAGATTTCCTTTTGGAGTGATGAAGTCACCCTTGGAATCTACTTAAAACACATGGCCTTCTGCAAGAATTTTCCAACTGGATCATTTAATTGCTTACAATTCTGGGGAAATAAGGTTGGCATGCCTAGTTTGGGAGCACTTTTACTGTTTTCAAGCTTATTTATGAAACATAATGAATTTTATCTTAGTAAAATTAAAACCTGTAACTGGGTCATGTATTTTACTTAAAGCTAAAAGGAAAAAAAAAAGAAAAATTATGAACTTTATTATAAACATCTAACAAGGTAAGAGAGAATTATGTTAAGAATATTATTTTATTGTAGGGTTTCTGACCATGACTTAATCTTTTCTTCAAGAGCTGTCCTTTAAGCATATGATAGACACTTACCAAATTATGCAAAATATACTAACTTGTTCATTTGCATGAGCTCTATGCAGTTCATGAATATCAAAATCCTCCAGGTTAAGCTGCAACTTTTCTTTACAGAGTTCACAGGTGGTTACGGCCTCTAATGAAGAACCTGGCAAAAATTAAATGACAAGTTAAAGCTTAGTTTTATGCTGTCCTCACAAAGTATTTTCCCTCCTAGGGATTAGATTTAAAAATGTGGACAATCTTAAGAGGGAATGTTGAAAAGAGGAGACAAAATAGAGAGGAAGACAAGGGCAAAGAGAGGATGGAAGACGAAAGATTCCAATACTTCAATAAACCAGTAATGTTTCTTAAAATAGTAATCTGCAACACCCAATGTGCATATCAGGTTCTGCCCTATGATATTTAAGCCTCCACCCATTATTTAGATGTCACAAATCCCAGATATTCATACATCCTTGTGATTGTTGGAGCTGACAGAGGCAATGGAATGCCAGTTGTACTTCCTACTTCCTCCTCAAGTACCATGACACAACATGAAAACAATGTTTAATGGCATCTCAAACAACTAGTCAAACAACTAGTTACATGTTCAGGCCAGTATCAACCTTGTGAGGTCTAAGGAATGTGACTCCCCTGATCCACCTTTGCCTGGATAAAAGCAGCTACTTTATCAACCATAAATGAAATTAAGTCCTGATACACACATGATACAATCTGGCTGAACCTTGTGGATATTATTCTAAGTGAAATAAGACAGATACAAATATTTGTCAAAAGGACAAATATTTTATGATTCTATTTATGGGACATATCTAAACTTAGACAAAGTAGTATGGATTTTACCAGGGACTGGAAATAGAGGGAACAGTGAGTGGCAAGTTACTGCTTAGTGCATATAGAGTTTCTATCTTGGGTTATGAAAAAGTTTTGAAAATAGATGGTGGTGATGTTACATAAAATTTTGAGTGTAATAAATACTACTGAATTATATACCTAAAGTAAAAACAACAAATTGTTACATATATATTTTTCCACAATTAAAAAACAAACTTTTGTTTGACATGCACTTTAGTAGATAAACAGACTTGTTTAATTAGTCATATAGCCCTTTCCCCTATTCTTGTGTTTACTTTTAGATAAGATTTCCAACTGAAAGATGTCCTAAATTTGAGTAAGTTATACAAATAACATAGAAGAGGTTTAATTCAATTCAACTCACATTTGCTGAGTGACTGTTTTATGTCAAGCAATAATTAGAGGTTTAGAGATTAAGAAAAGAGTAGGTAGTGGCCCTATCTTCAAGGAACACATAAAACTTTTGATAACAATGATATTTAAGAGCAAAGGCATCCAAGACAGCAGTAACTTAAATAAGTATTTCCGCAAAATAACTGAAAGGAAATTGAGTGCTAATCTGATAAAGTATGCTGTCCATGTTATCTCTAAAATTAGCTGATGGAGGAGGTGGGCAGGGGGGAGAAACAACCCAAACAATGTACACACATGTGAATAAATGAATAAAAAATTAAAAAAAAAGATTAGCTGAAGTCAAATACATTAGGTTTTCACTATACAAGCATGCACTATTTACTCAAAAAGAGACCACAATAAGAATATAATGGTGCTGAAAACTTCCTGTTCCTGAATGTAGCTCTTCAACACCATAAATAGCACAACACATTTCTCACGAGTTTGTGGTAATGGTGGTGTAAACAAACCTGCTGCCAGTAGGTTATTAAAAAAAAGTGTAATACATACAATTATGTGCAATAAATAATACTGAAAATGATGACAACTATGTGTTATAGATAGTTTATATATAATGTAGGTAAACAGCAGGGTATCTCTAGGTTTGTGTAAGTGCACACTATGATGTTTTTGCCCAAACTGATTGTAAACTGTGACCCTCTTATGTTCCTGGTTTATGAATTTATTGTATCACACCTTTTACCATTAATGTCTTATTTTTGCTTATTAAAAAAGTTTACTGCAAAACAGGTTGCTTTGTTACGCTGGGAGCAGCCCCATAAGACTATGCTGACAGTCTTGTGTTTACTGTGACAAAGATGTTAAAATGCATCTGAAATGTTTCTTAAAAAATTAATACTGTACCACAAAAGTAAATTTAAATTAGGTTCATGCTATAACCTGATTGGACTATAATGACAAAGACATGTAAAAGGCTTTCTTTTATCAGCCATTTTATAAAAATATTCTGATTCAGAAGCAGGAAAGTATAATCATGAAATATGGACATTACAGATGAATAGAACTTCTTTTAAACCTTAGGACTTTATTTTTCTATTCTGTGGGATGAAATCAAGTTATTCTAAAAGGTCACACACAGCTGAGAGCAAAGCATTTATCCCTACATTCCTTAAGCAGGGTTCTTTCCTTTATACCTCACCTCATTCAAGAAGCCCAAGCTTGTATTAGATTTGTTTAACTTATCTTTGTATAGCTTGTGAGTTTAGTAATCCATGTGCTGAGGCTGATTAATAAATGGTTAAATCAATGTCTATTAGAATGTACCTTCCACCAGATGAGGCTTTTTGGTTAAGTATGAGAAAGTTTTCTGAATATTTATCAGGAAGATTCCATTGTTGAGATCTACACACTCAGCTGACCAAATCTAAGAAAGTATTTATTTTAACCTTATGAAAACAATTCCCATTTATTCAGTACTTACCATGTGCCAGGAACAGCTGAAACTATAAATATGTCTGTGAGGTTTTACTCACCATGGTACTGAGGCCCAAACCCATTTTTAGGAGTAGATCTGAAACACCTACGTTTTTAAACACTCTAATGGGTAATTTTAATCAGCAAACCAGTGTTAAGAACCAACATTAAGAAACATGCTCAAGGTGCTTGGCATACAACTCAGTGGTAGAGGCCCTGGGTTTGATTCTCAGCACTACAAAAAAACCACCATGCTGAAGACGCTATAGCTAGGAGTTCAAGATAATATTCTCAGCTAGTCTCATTAACTGAAAAGCCCAATGTTCTTAAACTGTAGTATCTGTTTTTCTCCATACTCAACCCTAATAATCCAAATGCCATAGTATAAGAAGTTGAAACTAATTTTTTTCATTTTGGTAAGAGCTAACATTTTGGGGCCCTTAATGTCAAGAACAATGCTAAACACGTCATGTGTAATCTCTCATTTAATCCTAATTACCTCCCAGGGCAGTGATAAGCAAAGGCTGTGAAGTTACAGCCAAGAGACAGGGCTGCTATAAAAGAAATGTCTTGTCCCAGGTCCTGGGCCTCAGACTAGCACAGGAGAGATACTGCCTCTCCTGTCGTAAATTAAGATTAAAACCAGTGTCAGTAAATAAAAATTAAAAACAGTGTCAGCATCTTTCATAATGTATTTGTCTATGTCACCAAGCTATACTTATCAGATCCTCTATCTCACAAATTAGGTACATTTATTAATCTAATTTTCAAGCTTTCTCACCGTACTAGTTACCTTCCACTGTGACCTCTGGTATTCATGGTCTAACAGTGAATTCCTCTAAGAACCAGTCTCTTTTGCAAATGATCTCTTTACATAAACTTTATGCCTGAACCACAGTGCCTCTGACTCACTCTATACTCTTCTACAGTCATTTTTTCCCCATAGCCCCCTGCACCTCATAACAAAACTCAGAGGGCAGATGCTCCCCATTGATGTACTCAAACCTTAAGTTCCTCTCATTCATTGATGACTTTTAGCTATCTTATTCACCAACTTACTTCTTGGTTATTTCAACATCTGCAGACATTCATTTTGGATTCTAAGTTACTCAACATCTTTGCTTCCATTATTATCCTTCCCCACCTCAGCCATGCATTATTAGGCCAGACCTTTGTCCTTTTACTGTACTATCCCTAAATGTATTTCAAGTGCCATCTTGTTTATTGTACCTACAATTTATCACAGCAGCGTACCTACTCTGACAGTTCTCTTCAGTATCAATGAAATTCAAAAAGATTGATACTACCACTTTCTATACACTTCCTGATGTCCTTACTCCCTTCCTGGTTTTAATTTTCATGATCACAATTATGCCTGTATAGATACCCTCAACTCCATTATATTTACCTAGCAAAGGACCCAAGCTCAATGAACTCCAGTCCTCACATTAAAGTCCTCCCCCACCCCCATGATGAGAACCAAACCTAGGGCCTCACACATGCTAGGCAAGTGCTCTTACAATTGAACTATATAACTCCAGCTCTAAAATCATTTCATGGGCACTAATGCTGACTAGAAATACTACTATACATCCTTAAAAAATTTTTCCCCCCTCATCTCAAAACCTTTTAACCTGACCCACAATCGGCTAAAGAGACCAGAAAATAGGAGCAATTATATTGGAGGTCATGTATCTTCCCATCAAAGCAACAAACTGATCAGATTCTGGAAATAAAAGTATTTGTTCTCCTATTAAATGCTAACCATGCAGTTTGTGCTCTGGATGTCACCCTTCTTTTATAGTTTTTCCTCTCCACTGCTTCTCAAAAACATGCTTGAAATTCTCCTGCCTCAAAGTAGAACAAAGCACTTTCCATAATCCCATATAATTTCTTTATCTTCAATTTCCTTAACAGTAGTTTGCTCCAAGTGGGGTCTTTGTTGAAGTCTCCGCTTCTTGCTAGTCTATAATTAGGCTTTTGAACCCATGACTTCAGAGACTTAAGTCCATGATTTCAAATCCAACTTGTCATTGCACTGTTCTTATCTTTCTTGAACCCACAGCAGTACTAGATTGATCACACCCTCTCTTTTCTTTTCATTCCTTTTCATTCTTCTCTCCCTGAATTGAACTCAGAGCCTCCTGCTTGCTTGGGTGTCCAAGGCCCATTTCTCTGGTATCTGGTCATTCTCTAGGTGACTTTAAACTCAAAGCTTCAAATGTTAATTATGTCCTCATGCTGCCTAAAACTGTAACTCTGAGTGTTTCTTCTGAAATGCCAGTTTTGTCTAGCTATAGCCTGACATTTTCATACAGTTATCTAAAAAGAAGTACAAATACAGTATGTGTACAAAACATATTCTGGGTTACTAACTATACTTTTTTCTCATTCTACCATATCCAATCCATTGGAAAACCAAAGTCAATCTACCTCCACAACGTATCAAAATCTACCCATTTCTATTGTCAACATCACCACTACCACGTGATAGCTATCCACCATCAACTCTACCAAATGCTGTTATAACAGACTCTTGGTTGGACTCCTTGCTTTCAATCTTATACCCTCTAAAATCCATTCTCTAGAGCAGCCAAGTATAAATTAAGGTCATTTCATTTCATCCCCCTCCTTCAGTGGGTTCCCACCGTACTTAGATTTTTAAAAAATCTAAGGTTTCAGGCTTACCTTTAAAAGTTATATGTTACCTTTAATAGTTATAACTATTCTTTGCTAATCCTTTTCTTTTTTTCAAGTTATATCACCCTTTTCCCAACCACTAGTCATACACCAACCAACATTCAGTTCCTAAAATACACCTAATTCCTACCTTGAAGTCTTTGTATTAGCTATTTTCACTGCTAAAATGCTCTCTTTTCCTCATTCTGGAATACCTAGTTCCGCTCTCAGTTTAAATGTCCTCACCTAAGACAGACATTCCCTTAACAACCAATATCATCACTGTCACAATAGCAAATAAACATGTCTGTCTTGTTTACTGTACTGTAGCCTACATTTGGAATTGTGCCTGGCTCTATAACACATAGTCCATGAACAAATGAATCTCTAATTTGCTAAGTGATACAATTGCATGACAAACAATAAATCTTTGTGAAGAACACATAGCTGGTAAATTATGAATGTGTTTGACTCAAAAGGACTTTACATAATAAAAGGGTCACCAGTCATCACAAATTACAAATGTACTATACATGTATGAGGTAGTTTTCTGGGCAACAAAAAAACAGTACTATAGCAAATTTATAAAACAATACTAATGGTCTTCAATGCTTTTGGTGAGACTTCAAAAATGATTTAGACCATACTGCCAAACAAACAAACAAAAAAAACCCAAAACACACAAAAAAAACCAACTAGATTTAGATGCTTTTAATAAGTCTAAATTCAACAATCAGTAATAAATCATAATAAATTTGTCAAGCAAAATGCATACATACATGTACCTCTTGGAAAAAATTTGAAAACAAAATGCACAAAAGGGTTAAATCTTACCAGAGTTAATTTTGGCCTGTAACCACTTTTTCATACACTCTTGGTGGACATACTGCAAACTTCCAGTGCATTTGCATGGCTCTATCAGCAAATTAGATGATGATGCAGCTGCCATCTGACAAATTCTACATAAGTCACCTTCTTCTTCTTCAGAGTCCTCTAAAAGAAGGCTGGAAAAGAAGGTACATTTTCCTGAGCTGTTATAACTCATCCTACTTGGTCACTTCCAGTCATACTTAATCCCAATCTCTCTTTTTTGTCATTTCTACTTAACAAAGAGTAGGAAAAAAAAAAGGAAACAGTAATAAGAAAAAAACAGAACCAAAAACCACTAACTGCTATGCAAAAACATTACCTTCAGGATATAAACTGTTAGTATTTTAAAAGTGAACAAAATAGGTCACTGATCTTTCAATGATACAATTTTGTCTTTGGAAACAGTTTAAGTTTCATATCTTTCAAAATCACTTTGTAAATACACTTAAGAGATTTTAATTTCTGTAGTACCCCAGAGTACTTCAAATCCAACAGTATAAAGGAAGGAAGCATATCTTCATCATTTTCATCAATCACTTCTGAAAAACTTTTAAGACTACTTCAGTGAATTAAGCAACCACTGAATTGTGGTTTCTCATGTAAACTAATAAACATTTTGTATTAGATCACAGTAAACATTTAATAAGGAGAATTAAAATTTATCCATTATTCCACCTGAACAAATCATCCTGATTTCTGTAAGGGTAAGCTTTGAAAGCATGGAAGAACTTCCATTAACTTCTGCACTCTAGTTAACAGGCCAACATGTGTGGCTTAATTTGAAATGTGGACAAAGTTATGTAATAAGTACAGCATTTTTTTTGTTATTAAAACTTGTTTCATTAGTCCACTGCTGACATGAAAGGGTACCCAGGAAACTGACAATACTGAATGAACTGCTTCACAACTACAACCTCACTTATATGGGTTCCTAATGAACTTAGCAAAAGATCTGTACATAGAGAATGACTTTCATGCCCAAGTTAATCAAAGACCTGACCTCAAACATAAACTACTTTGAAAGGTTGAAAATATGATATTTATGTTTTAAATTTTAACATTCTGTTTTAGATTCAATTTTTCTACACTCTGTTATTAACTATAGGATTCTTAAAATCCTCATGTATGAGGCAAAATACAATAAAGGAAGAGACACACATACACAGAGGCAACTCAAAAAATGCTGCTTTTAAAACTATCTAACTAGACAGAGTGGTATTGGTTTAATTTGTTTCTCTTTGATGATCACTGAACTAAAGTTTTGCCCTCTACTTCTAGCAGTATAATTTTACTTAGTTGAGGGTAACTCAAGGTTAGTAATTTTACTAATCTTAGGGTAACTAATACTTACTACATTCCTCAGCAGACACCTTATCATCAGAGGACGTTGCAAACACTAAACTTAACACTACCAGGGTACAGTAAATCCCTTTCTACAAGGAAAAATAAGAAGTTTATAAGCTGAAAAACAATCACCACATGGCAAAAAAAAAAAAAAAAAAATCTGTCTTACATTTATCTACCATTTGATCCAGCAATACCACTCTTGGGGATATACCCAAAAGACTATGACACAGGTTACTCCAGAGGCACCTGCACATCCATGTTTATTG